AGTGCTTTCTCAGACAATAACCACTCTTAGGATAGGATTTGATCGTAGTGGTGATCATGGTTTTTTCTATTTTAATTGGGAAACCTTGGCGCTTTTCATTGATGCCCCTAGACTTAAGTATATGAATTTTGAAAATGAACGATCGCCGAATCAGTTCATAAGGAATCTAGGTTCCTTAGTTAAGGTCAATTTTGTTGGCGACTTTATGTTATATTATAATGATAGAGTAGCCATATCAAAGCATCAAATGGTCCATAGATTTCTCACCGGTATCTCGAGAGTTAGGGATCTGATCATCTCTGAGACTACTATGGAGGTATTTTTCTATGAAGTTCATATACATATCTAATGCTATTTAACGAAATTTTACTCACCAATAGTCTTCTCTTCTTTTCTTTTATGTAAGCAGTTAATCAATACCTACTTGAAAGTAGTAGAACCATTACCCCAGTTTTGCAACCTGTCCAGTTTAGAAGCAGAAGTTCGTTTAAAGACCGTGGAAATTCTGGAAATCCTGCCAACGCTTCTTGAAAGCTTTCCGAATCTTAAATCCATCGTCTTGGTGATGACTTGCGCCAATTATAGAGTCTTAACTTAAGTATGCATTTAACGATATATGTTTTCTAGTATACTCATTAATCTTATGTGTTTTGCAGGGTTTAACTTATTCTATGGTCAAAACAAAACAAATGACAGTCTCGTCCGTGCCTCAGTGTTTGTTGTCATCGCTCGAGTTTGTAGACATAAAAAGCCAATGTCAGGCAGAGCTTGTTGCAATGGAACTAGCAAAGTACTTTGCAGAAAACTCAGCCATCCTCAAGAAACTTGTTCTGAGCTGGAAAGGTTCTAATTCTATTCTAGAAGAAGATTCTGTCTTAAGGGATCTTCTTGCATTGCTGAAGCAACCTAGCACGTGTCAAATCGAAGTTTGTGGACCCATAAAAAGACTTGTAAGTGGTTCCTAAAGATTCCCAGACTAGCATTCCTAGAGACTAGACTTGGATTTTGATTTTGTTTAATTCTATTATCATGTTGTTGGCCACAATGTTTTATGATTCCAAACTGTTTTTGTGTAAGAGGTTACTAAAAATTGGAAGATACAAAGAAATATGATTATGTGTCGAGTGATTTGGTTTAAATCTCTTTACTCTGGTCTTGTGATGGGGACAAATCATCTTCCTAGATGAGCCGTGTAGTTTGTGCAAATGATGACTCTTCTTCCACAAGGACTATCTGGAAAATATGTGATGCTGATGTTCCCGCATCTAGGTGGGAACAAGCCAAGTCATTCTTTAGTGAGGTTAAGGCATTATGCTATTAGCGACATGTGAGCTGATGGGTGACCTCTTCTTCGTTTAAATGACTCTCTTGCACAATTTGGGAATTAAAAAAAAAAAGTAATGAATGGCCAATTAGTGTTCTATCTATACTTTCAGTATGGTTTAGATTTGATGATTTATAAGTTTTACTTTTTACGAAAATGAAGAGAGATAAACCGGTTGGCATGAACCTTAACACTCTCTTGGTGCGTCTCTGGCCTTCGAATCTTCCAACACACAAAAGCCTAAATGCGTGAGGTGATTTTACTCAAGTGCTACTAATCCAGATTCTGATGATTTAGATTTAGAGGTTATTTATTTATTATAAGTTATATAATTTTTAATTATTAATTTTAAGTAAATTACAAATCTTACTAATATTATCAACAATAATATTTTATATTTTTTTATCTATTCAAAATTTTAGATAATATATGATTACTCCAAACATTGTAAATAAGTTTTTGATTTTTACTATTAATAAATAATAAAGAATTTTATATTATTTTTAATTTATTAATTTAAATAAATACTTAAATTAATAAAAAGGGTATTGTGGTAAATTTTCAATATAAAAAGAGTAGTATTCAAATTACTATAACACTTAGTGTAATTTTCAGATTTCTAATATAATTTTGTATATCTATAAAAATCTTCCTTTTTTTTACATGTATCAAAATCTAATTGGGAGAAGTTTTTTTTTACATATCAAAATCTCATCAATTTATGATGTTAATTATTAACTTTGAAACATTAACTGTTATATGTAACATTTTAACCTTAAAAATACTGAAAACCACAAGTTGTATTGGAAAATTCTTAACTCTAGTCTAATGCAAACCCATAGTGTTCTCGACATGATCCGGGCCAGTCCAGATTGTAGAAGCGTATCCCTTACGGTTTCCATCCTCCGTATAACAGTTTTCGAGTTCAACATATCGCATACTGTTTCCCTTTAAATCATAATAATAGACACGTAACTTGTCGTACGACCAGTACACTGACTTGACAAGAACGATCTCACCACCACGAGTAGTACCCGCGATGCTCCAACTATGAAAATCCTCCATCTCACATAAGAAAAATTTGGACCATCCTTGTGTTTCCATAACCCATATTTCAACTGCCCTCTCACAAGAGATGAGTCCTAACTTCTCTTTGTAGTTGATCAAAGTCGAATCGCGATGCAAATGCATCAATACTTTTGGAGCCTCGACATGATCAAATTTCTCCAACCTAACATCAAAACTCATCAATTTAATATCTACAAGAAAAGGAGGATTGCGAGTCCCTTCTCGGTAATAGATAGTCCCGTTGATACAAACCACACCTAACAACGTCTGGTGAGGTCTAATATTGTGTTGGATGTTCCTCCACTGCTTAGCTGTCGGATCTCCCAATGTGAAAACTTGACAACACCCATCCCAGGTGCCTCTTGGTAGGAAGATTACTTTGTATTGATTCTTGATAGGGTCGTATCCGAAGAAGAAATCACACATGTACATGTGCTTATATTTCAACTCTGGTAAGTCAAAGGACTGCCTCGTGGTAGGGTTATATATAGCTACCACATTAGGGAAATGAGACCAACAACAAACCAAGCCACGAACGGATTGATGATATTGTCCAGGGACTAATACTAATTCTTTGTCAGTATTTCCAGGGCAAGTAGTAGAAGAGAAGGCTATGAAACTTTTACAAATTCTATTAGGAAAACAATTTGAAGAGACGAGGGAGATGATATGGGCGTCACGCGGAGGCTCATTCAAAGAACGAGTTACGATCGAGTCTATCAAGTCTCTACGGCTGCTGATTATTGATGACCACAGCTTAGAGACACATTGGAACCTCAATAGAGATTTCGTCGGAAGTTTCTTGAGTATCTCCACGGTTACATCAAGAGGTATATTGATAACTCCACCGTGACGAAGTCGTGTTGGCGATGGTGAGGTCTCGTGGCTGTTCTTCTCTTCACGCCCTCTTTTCATCACCTCTGTTTTGTGGAAACCCTGTAGATTGATAATTAGCATGCAAGAACATATATGTATGTATAATTAGGAAAAAAAACTTATGTATAAAAGGAAACAATATTAAAAAGAAGAGAAATATATAAAGTTTCCTTTCCCTCTTGTAAGACCATCTCTTTTCCAATTTCTAAGATTTTATCCATCTGAGACACTTTTATCTACATCTTGTTTTTTTTTTTTTTTTTTTAAATATACATAATTGCTTTCCTTTTTTCTTGATGCAATTTCTATAGATTATGACTTTTTTTTTCATTTGAGATTCATGGTTATTTGAAATTCTTGGCTAATTAATTCATTGTCATTGACTCACTGTCTTGGTACCAATGCAAGACAATTTAGAAAAATCATGTTTTTCTTTCTTTTTTTCCCTATAATCAAAATTACGACACAAAATATGAAATGATAAAGAACTCGTCGAGATGTGGAGATCATGAATACTAGTTAATTTTCTTTTCGGGCTGATTTGTTATATGTATTTTATTTTGAAAACATATATATATCAGTTTATATACAATTATTAATTCCTAATCATGAAAAAAAAGAGGGTTCTTTGATATCAAGTGACATTTGCAAAAACTTGACGCTTGGTGGTCAGGGCCGTGCCTCAGTGGCAATAAAAGAATCTTTGGCCTGCGGCTTTAAAATTTTGAAAAAAATTTGACGGCCCTATCTTAAACATTACAGCTTCTATCACAAACCAAAGGGAGACTGGTCAGGATGGTTTTATGTATTAGTACTAGATTTTTAATCCGCGAGGCTATATTATCCTGTTTTATGTATTAGTACTAGATTTTTAATCCGCGAGGCTATATTTATGACATCAAGCCAGATAGAGTCTGAACTATGTCCCCATTCTATTTGTCCCCGAATTAAAAGTTCTATTCCTATTTCCCACAAATTAAATGTTCGAAAGCCAGATGTCCCCGAGATAATAGTTCGAGATCTAGTTTTCCACAGAATTGGGTTACGACGATTTACTGTATGCTTAACCTGTTAATAAACCTACAGAACCTAATTATAACCCGACTAAACCAAGATTTTGACCCGATTAAAATCCGATTACTGTCTACCAAAAAAATTCTCAAATCGAAACCCTAAAAAAAATCTCCAAATCGAAACCGACAAACCCTAGAGAAACAAAGAGAAAGTGAGAGAATCGAAGCTTGGTAGCTGTATAACCTTAAAATCAAAGCTTTCGATGTCTTTAGTCGTTCATGATCCGGATTTAGTAGGAGATGTCGATCCCGAAGCTGAAGAGAGAGATCGAGTTCTGATGTAGGAAATGATAGAGTAGTTCTTCGACGAACCACCAATTCGCCATGATGTGTACCTGGAGAGTGATACCAAGGAGAACAACGACGGTCCAGAAGTGTTTCGGACACATATAAGGCTCGATGATGGGCATTTGTACGTACCCTAACCAGACATTCTTTAGTAGTGTCGCTTTCAAGGAGGCGGTCGTGAATTATGCTTTAGTAGTGTCGCTTTCAGGAAATCATCCTATAACTACCTGAAAAAATCCAAAAGACATGCAAATGGACACCTACGTGGTCCGCTTCTGTTTTATTTGACGACTTTTTTTACCAAATGTTTTTCTTTTATAGTAACCTCTTATCATTTTTTCATTTGTAAAACAAATTATATATGAAACATTTGTCACGTGATTGCTGGACACCATTATTGGTGTTTAGACGTTTATAAATTTGGAAGATTAGAAAGTTCATATATAAGCATAGTTGTATCCCAAATGGTGAATGTGAGATGTTTAAGGTGCCTCATATTGCTAGGTTGTTTATTGATAAGATTAGGGACAATCCTGAGTTCTACATGCCACCAAAACTTGAAGAAATCATTAAGGAACAATGGAAGATCAGTGTCAGTCTGCGAGGAAGAAGGCACTACAGTGGATTGAGAAGGAGTACAATTATCATTTTGCTAGATTAAGAGACTATGCGGCTGAGATACTTGATTCAAACAAGGATTCACACGTAGAGGTTGAATGTCTAAGGAATGAAGACGGTAAAGACATGTTCAACAGGTTTACACAACAAAACAACATAAGAGTATATAAGTCTGTTACCAAAATCTCTATTAGAGAGGAAAGATAAAAAGTACATATTCCTCTAATCACTTTTATCTACATCTTGTTTTTTTTTATTTATTTAAAATATACATAATTGCTTTCCTTTTTTCTTGATGCAATTTCTATAGATCATGACTTTTTTTCAATTGAGATTCATGGTTATTTGAAATTCTTGGCTAATTAATTCATTGCCATTGACTCACTGTCTTGGTACCAATGCAAGACAATTTAGAAACATCATGTTTTTCTTTCTTTTTTGCCTATAATCAAAATTACGACACAAAATATGAAATGATAAAGAACTCGTTGAGATGTGGAGATCGTGAATACTAGTTAATTTTCTTTTCGGGCTGATTTGTTATATGTATTTTATTTTGAAAACATATATATCAGTTTATATACAATTATTAATTCCTAATCATGAAAATAAAAAAAAGGGGTTGTTTGATATCGAGTGACATTTGCAAAAACTTGACGCTTGCAAAAATTTTGAATTTTTTTTTGACGGCCCTATCTTAAACATTACAGCTTCTATCACAAACCAAAGGGAGACTGGTCAGGTATAAAGAATATGAATGATGGTTTTATGTATTAGTACTAGATTTTATTAGTACTAGATTTTTAATCCGCGAGGCTATATTTATGTTTATGAAGTTCATTTAGTTCTCTTATGAAAATTAGCCTATGGATATAACATTGTGTTTTCAATTATTTTAATGTACATATATGTTTATGATGAGCTGACGATCTATTTCTCCCCGAGAACTATGACATCAAGCCAGATAGAGGCCGAACTATGCCTCCATTCTATTTGTCCCTGAATTAAAAGTTCTATTCCTATTTCCCACGAATTAAAAGTTCGATAGCCAGATGTCCCCGAGATAATAGTTCGAGATCTAGTTTTCCACATAATTGGGTTATGACGGTTTACTGTATGCTTAACCAGTTAATAAAATTACTAAACCTAATTATAACCCGACTAAACCAAGATTTTGACCCGATTAAAACCTGATTACTGTCTACCAAAAAAATCCCCAAATCGAAACCCTAAAAAAAAATCTCCAAATCGAAACCGACGAACCCTAGAGAAACAAAGAGAAAGTGAGAGAATCGAAGCTTGGTAGCTGTAGAACCTTGAAATCAAAGCTTTCGATGTCTTAAGTCGTTCATGATCCGGATTTAGTAGGAGATGTCGATCCCGAAGCTGAAGAGAGAGATCGAGTTCTCATGTAGGAAATGATAGAGCAGTTCTTCGACGAACCACCAATTCACCATGATGTGTACCCGGAGAGTGATACCAAGGAGAACGACGACGGTCCATGAGTGATTCAGACACATATAAGGCTCGGTGATGGGCATTTGTAAGTACCCTAACCAGACATTCTTCAGTGGAGTCGCTTTTAAGGAGGCGGTCGTGGATTATGCTCTACGAACTGGATGTAATCTGAAGCAGTACATGTACGATAAAGATAAAGTTGGGTTCAAATGTGCTAGTTGCGATGGTACGGAAGGATCACGGTGTGATTGGCAAGTGTATGCAGCGATTCTTTAGAGTGATTCGATGTGGAAGATTAGAAAGTTTATATATAAGCATAGTTGTATCCCAAATGGTGAATGTGAGATGTTTAAGGTGCCTTATATTGCTAGGTTGTTTATTGATAAGATTAGGGACAATCCTGAGTCCTACATGCCATCAAAACTTGAAGAAATCATTAAGGAACAATGGAAGATCAGTGTTGTGGATGTCGGATTCGCACACTTGAATATTTGTTTAATTAGTGGGAATGATTATTCTTGAGGACAAAAATATGATAAAAAAGCTATGAATTGCAATAGGAATGACTATAGTGTATTTGCTAGAAAAATTGCGTATCCCTTAAATGGCTATTAGCCCTCTTATTTATATTGACAAACGACATTTAATTCTCAATTAAACACAATTATTCTCTCTTAAATACGTCCGTTTTAGTCTTCAAGTTTAATGCTCAACGTTTGAATTTGAATTGATTCCGATCTTCATGGGCTTCGCCTTTTGGCCCAAGTTACTTTGAGCCGTTTTGACTTCGACCTCGATCCCGAGTTGTATCCCGAAATATGACCACTTCGGGCTCTCTTTATGGTGATGCCCACTTCGATTGTACTCTGTAAACGATGGGCTTTATGGGCCTTATCCTCTGTGGGCCTTCCCTCTAATTACGTGGCAATCTTTGGTTGGTCCCGGTCTACTGGTGCGGGATCCGACACCAACAATTAGCCCCCCAAGTCTTTCGAAGTGCTTATTCCAGTTCGGAGGACTTTAACGTTTTAATGACCAAAGATTGCGCTTGAGAGATCTTCTGATTTTCCCGCCAAGATCCTGTCAATCCTTTAATTTCGTCGTTTACCATATTTGATCGCGTGACATCTGTCACCATCACGACCG